GGAAAGGCTTGGTCATGAGGCCACTCTCCAGAATCTCTTGACCTCTATGGAGATCTTAGCCTACAAGACCACTGACACCCTTGCTAGGCCCCAAGCTTTATTAGATTCTTTGGTTAATGCCATTCTTGACAACCAGTTGGCCTTTGACTACCTGCTGGCAGAACAAGGCAAGCTATGTGTAGCCACTAATTCCTCATGCTATGCATGGATTAACAACTCAGGGCTAAGTAAGAAGAACATTAAAGAAATTTAAGCCCAGGCATATTAGCTGCATCTAATCTAAAGGACATTAACACAAGGAGTACAGGATATTATGTTACAGTCTACCCCCAACCTCACTTGGTTTCTCCTTCTATTAGGATCTTTAGTGGCCCTCATGTCCCTGTTCCTTGGACTATTCATCCTCAACTGATCAGCCTCTTTCATGACCAAAAGACTTGAGACCAACAAACTTTAGATGGTCATAACTCAAAAACAGAAATAATGAGTGAGAGCCTGGTTACAATCAAACATACCTAAAACCAGCTAGGGAAAAGTTTTGCTCCTCCAGCCAAAGATATGTAGTTCTAACAGAAAGCAGTTCCAAATCTTGACAATTGCTCCTGAACAGCCCACAATAATGATGAGAAACAAAGCTGGTCATGGTAGCACATGCCCATAAGTACTCTGCGAGGCTAACGCAGGAGGATTGCAAGTTCAAGCCTAACACAGGTAAACTGCTGATATACATATACAAATTATATATACACATTAAACACACACACAAACACACACACACACACACACACACACACACACACAAATTTGGTAGCAGGGAGACATCAGTTTCAAGATTCTAGGTAAAAGTCCCATAACTACTCCTGTTTCTATAGAGCACCCTGTTAACCAAATGTCCCTGTTTCACAATGAGGAATGAACTCAGATGGGGGGAATGAGTTCCTGGGGTGCACCATAACCTGCTCCATGTTGAGTCCATTGACTTCCCCAAAGCCATTTCTTCTCTACCATAAGGGTTACTTGGAGGCAGCCAGTGTCAGGACAGGAAGACAGAAGGGATAGCTCTCCAGAGCAAGAGGATTTGACAGCTTCTGGGAGATTACCCAAGGGATTGTCTGTGAAGGTCAGCTAACCACAAGTAGAGCCTCTACTCTCAGTTGAATAACCAAGTCTGTTACCATGTAAAATCATGGTCTGGTCACCACACAAGCCAATTAATTGAGAGCCAAAGAGATGACAGAGAAAGGATGTCAGTATGGTGAGCTAGCTGATCACAAAGGAGAACCAGCCGAAAGGACCGTCTTGATTAAAGGTGATTTATGAGCAGTTCACATAAACTGGTAATAAATAATGGCAGACTAGGGCACATCTTCTCATAGGTTAAGGTTCTGGGCAAGTTATACACACCTGAGCTTGATCACCTAGTCACACCACATTTCAGTTCTTCCAATCTCAAGAAAAATCTATTATTTTTGTCAAAAATTATCATTTCCCCACACGAATCCTGCTACTTGTTAGTCCGCCCATGTGCAGCTCCTGACATTCCACAATGGATATGCTAGAGGGGACAGCTGCACAGAGAAGATAGGCAAAGATCAGAGGAAGTTATATACAGAGGTGGTCATGTCAAGGGAGAAAGAGAGATCTTAGACTTATTGCTCAGCTTCAGGATGTCATTTCTGTAATTAGCTTACAGCAGATCACCACTCCATCTTCCCAGCACTCTGAAGAAGCAAGCTTTTGTGTCACAAAGCCTGCATAGTAAATGTCTGAGGGTGACCTTCAACCAATGGCCACTGAAAACAATCCTGCTAACAGCCCCATGAGTGTGCTTAGAGGTAGATCTTTCCTCAACGGAGGCTTCAGATGAGTGTGGTGAAGACACCATCAGGATAGCAGTCTGTGAGGGGCCCCTAAGGAGAAAAAAGCTAAGCTGTGCCTGATTCACCATCTAACAATAGATAACCCACACAGGTGGCTATAAAACTTCAAGTTAACAATATAGTAGACATTCTTTGGTATTTGGCTTCTCTCTCTCTCTCTCTCAGCATGGTGTCTATGTCCTTATCTGCATCAATAGTTTATTTTGTTTACTGCCAAATAGTGTTCCAAGGGCATAATGCCTCCTTTATGTCCATGTCCTAATTCTTGGCACCTGTGAATGTGTCCCTTGGCAAGGAGAAACCAAGACTGCAGGTGGCCTTGAGGTTTCTAATCAGCTAAGCTTGAAGTGCAAGACTGTAATCACAGGGGTCCTTACAAATAGATGGGGGAGGCTGGTAAGAGAGACAAGAATGATGTAACATGAGAAAGGTTCATCTGATGGATGCTGGCTGGAAGGCGATATGGGCCAGGGAATCTAGTGTCCTCCAGAAGCTGGAAAAAGCAAGAAATGCATTTTAGGCTGGAACCACCGCTTGGTGAGAGTGTATGTTTAGCATACATGAAGCCCTGAGTTCAATCCTCAGCACCCACAAAGAAAAGTAATCAAGCACAGCAGTGAAACAAAACAAAAAAAGGAATGCGTTTTAAAAAATCAATAATGGGCCAGAGATTTAGCTCAGTGGTTCTGCCCCCTGCCTTACAAGCTCATGGACCCAAGTTCGATCCCCAGTACCAAAAAAAAATAAAATAAAATAAAAAAGAATAGAAAGAAACAGCCTGTCCCCTAGAGTCTCCAAGACAGAACACGGTCCTGCGAACACTTTAATTTTAGCCCACTGAGACCTATTTCAGAATTCTGACATAGAGAATAAATACATGTTGTTTCAAGTTACTTAGTGTGTAGCAGTTTGTTTCAGCAACAACCAAAACCTAGTGGTACAGATAGAATACATTTTGTTTTTCCACTGGCCTGCTGCTGGTTGTGTCCAGTGTTCCGCTATTTTGACTAATGTTGTATAGTGAGCACTTCTGTGACTGTGTGCATACACTATTTTAACAAAGTCACACTTTTTTCCACTGCTTGAGGATTTTTGTATCTATGTTGGTGAGAGATTGTTATGTACTTTTTCTTTCTTTCTTTTTGCCTAGTTTTGGCATTGGGGTGGTGCTGGCCTCACAGAATGAATTAGGAATTGTTCCTTCTGCTATCTTGTGAAAAAGAGAATAATTGAAAAATTGGCATAATTTATTCCTTACACATTTTGTATAATTTGGTAATAAACCCATCTGGGTCTGGCAATTTCCTTTGTGGAATGTTATTAATTATTGCTTCAATTTCTTTAATAGATCTAGGCCTATTTAAGCTGTTTATTTGTTTTGTATTTTTCAAACACTGTATTGGGATGGTTTTCTGAGAAGAGGTGATTGAGTTCACAGCAGTTAGAGGCACATGGGTTGTGACTCCTCTGGAAATCAAATGTCGGTGCTCTGTGGGATGGCACAGCTGCCTGAAACCAGCTCCTGGATATCACTGTGGATATCCAGCTTTCTACTGTGAGGTATGGGTACCTGTGCGTGCATGCATGTGTGCATGTTGGGGGAGAGATCTGTCTTCTCTACAGGTTCTCTGGGAACCTAAGAAGTTTCCTATCTGTACAGAGCTCACTTTTTTCCGTGTCTCTGGCACCACCCAGCTTTGGAGGGAACACAGCCTTACCTGAGAGCTGGTAGTTTGACATCATGCTGCAAACTCTCAATCTTCTGGACCAAAAGGACCCAGGTTCTCAGAAGCAGGACTCCCCCATGGAACACTGAAGCCTCCGTTGGTTTCCAATGCATGGTTTTTTTCACTTGCTATGCCTTCTGGCTGCAGCTGTCTTCCCCAGATCCTGGACTGGCTGACTACTTTCCCATTCCTCAGGATGTTCCTAGACAACGTGACTCTCTTTTGCAAGACTTCCTGACCCTTCTCATCTGCTGCCACCCTCCACCGCAGCCCCCTTTCTCGTGTCACTTACTTTATCTTCTTTCTGACACATATCAGTATCTCCAAATCATACTATGGGCCTGCTAGATGTATCTGCTGACGTCCCACGTCAGCTCCACGCGGCAGGGGCTAGCCTGGGCTGGGGTAGAGAGTGGTGCCTTGCCTTATCCATGCAGGAGTCAGATCCGGATGTGACCCAGAAAAGATGCTCAGTATTTGAGGAGGCAAAGGCTAGTTGCTTGGACAAGCCTCGTTTAGTGCCCAGCTTGCCTCTGCCATGCCCAGTCCACCTAGGCCCATGGAGTAGCTGCCTCTGGAGGGGACTGGGATGGCTGGTGGCCTCCTGGGGGCTCCAGTTTAGAGCTGGATACTATCTGCCTTCCCCTGCTGCCTTCTGACTGGACCTGGGGGCTAGGGTTTCCCCCAGGGCTCTTTCGGAGCCCTACCCCCTTGCTACAGGAAGACCTTCTCCCTGTACAATGCCCTTTTCACCATCTGTGGCAGAGTTCCAGGTTTGTGTCCTATAGGCCGTCATCCAGCTCAGCCTGGAACGACCTGTGAGACTGCACTGACTCACTGTGCCATGTCCCCCAGCTACGACTGTGCCTCCTCTTATCCTCATCATCCTGCCAGCCCCCACAGCAGTAGGGTACCCTCCCAATAGTCATAAGGGAATAGGATGGCCTGTCCCAGTGTTGGGTGTAGACAGCTGACACTTCTCAGTGACCTGTGAGTGCCCCATCCAGCCTCTAGCCTTGTCCAAGCTGACTGAGTACCCTCAGGACACAGCACATGGGCCTTACCAAGTTCTGGGGGAAGGTCTGGGGGCAGGGTGCCTTCAAACATACTGGGCAAGGCCTTGAGGCACCCGAGGAATCTGGCATCACAGCAAAAGGGCCCTGGGTTGGGAGGTCCTTGTGATATGTCCCTATGGCCACAAGGTGCTCCAGAGTAGGGATCAGTCAACCCATATGGCTCTCCTCTCCAATTCCTATGTGGGCTCCAGGGCCCTGCTCTCTCCTCATCCCTGCCAAGAGGACATGCCCTCTCCTAGGGCCAAGCCTGCAAGCAGTACAGCAGGTTTCCAGGACAACAATCAGGGAGGGTACCCATCCTGCTGCCTCACACCTACATTCGGGTCTGTGTGTTTTTCAGGGTGAGTTTCAGCTCATCCAAGGTCTCTTCCATCTCCTGCGTGTTCTGGATCAGTGACAGGTTTTGCTCTTCCAACTCTGTGAAGACATCCAGGAGCTGCTGGGGCTCCATAAAATACAGTGGCAGGTCCTGTGAGAAGGCCATGTGGGCAAGGGGCCCGGGTCGGGGAAATGATGGGGCAAGGGGAGGAAGGGTGGGCAGAACCAGGCCACTGACCTCTCCTTCACTGTCAGTGTCTTCCTGAGACTGGAGGGATGGGAGGGTAGAGCTTGACCTGCAAAGAGATGGGGTCAGGGCTCCCTGGGCCAGCCGGGGTGGCCGGAAGTGAGCAGCAGGCAGAGACCCAAAGACGTGGGTGGGCCATCTCCCTAACCCTTGTCCTCCCCACCAGTGCCCAGACATAGCAGCAACCTGCATGGCTCTGCAGATGCCACACAGCAGCCAAGCAGCCACTCCCACTTTTCGTCGCACTCCAGGGGTCACTATGTCCCTGCCCTGTGAGCCTCTTCTTCTCTCTCTAGGTATCGGCCCTACTTCAAGGCCTTTGTGTCCGCAAGAGCTGCCTTTCTCCCTGACTATTTGTTTTCTGAGAGCCATCTCTGAGGCCTTTCATGCCCCACCTTGGTCTTGCACCATCCTGCCCTTGACAGTCCCACTGACAGTCACCATGAACATAAGGCCAGCTCCAGCTGACCCTCAGCAGCACCTCACAGGGGTGGGCCTGTTCCGGGCTAGGGTAAGGAGGCATAGCCAAAGTCGTGTGGGCTTTAGGATGGTCACGAGGCCCTAGACATCCCTCTGGGAGGATTCCCACCTCTACCTATTTGCAAATCCTCTCTCATTGCCCCCAGCCTGAGACTTGCCTCCCTGACAGGCCCGAAGCCACCTGAAGTGGAGGGACATCAGTACAGGGCTTGGCAGGAGCCCCAAGAGGCGACCAGGGAGGGCTTCCCAGAGCAGAAATAGTGGCAACAGCTAAAGCCTGGGCCTCCTGTTGAATACATACTGATGCCCATTTTGTAAGACAGGAGTTTTGAAGTATAGCTCAGAAAGTCAGCCACCAGCTCAAGGCCACTGGAAGATGCCTCCCTGAGAATTCACCCTCCAGAGGAATATAGCTTGGGTCCGGGCCCTGGCCTGGTGGCTTGGAGTGGTCTAGACCAGTTTATGAGCTTTGTGCAGCTCACAGCTCACCCAGCCGTACTCACTGGCCTGGTCACTGGCTAATGGATGGAGCAGCCAGGATTCAAAGCCAGGACAATGTGATCCAGACCTGTCTTCTCAACAACTCCCTCAACATAGAGCTCCAGAGCTGGGGGACCACCTAGGCAGAGGAAGCAGCATGGGACAGCTAATCACTTAGAACCTCTCCTCCCAAATACTGAAATAATTATTCCCCAGATGAGTCACAGGGGCTACAGTCCACATGCAGCATGTGCCTGGCCCAGCCTATGTTACCACCAACCCGCCTGCAATGTGACATTCAGAGACAGGCGGAGACAAAACACAGGAAGGGGTTCGGGCAGCCACAGGCCAGGGAGGACGGGCTGTTGCCAAATCATAAGAAATAAACAAACCACCCAGGTTGCCACAGCACCCCTGTAGTGCCATGACTCTTATTTTATTTTACTTTCATATTTCTGATGCTCTGACATCTGGGTCCTTCCTGAACCCTCCCCAAGGTTAAATAATTCATAGAGATGGTAAATGATTCTGGTTTGTCCTGGATTGTGCTTCTCCATCACAAATCCACCAGCTCTCCAGTATCCAGGCCCTCCAGCACAGGGTTCTTATGCTAGGGCCACTCTTCTCCTGCCCTGATCTGGTGCCTTCCCCAGGGCTAAGACCAAACCGCCACAGACAGCACTATGCCTGATGTTAATCAATTTGGCCTGTCCTCAGCCTGCTGCCTCACTTCACCCACTTCTTTCTTGGAAACTACAATAAACATCCCATGTTCCTCTCTCCACCTCTGACCTCTGACATTTCTCCTGTAACCCTACATGCCATGCTGGCCTTCTCTTGGGATTCTAAGGACCTTAGTATCAGTATTTTCTGGTTGGTTGGCTGTACTATTCCTGGGGACCATCAGAAAGTGCTCCCTCCCCCATGCCCCAGCCCCATCCCAGGCCTCTTCAAGGCCACTCACCCTTTGGAGTCCAACCTGCTAGGCATGCTGGGCTGACTGGTAGGCTGGAGGCTGATGCTGCTGGATGGGACCTGCCCCAGCCTCACTGCCTGCAGAAGCTTCCAGGGCTTCTTCAAGCCCCGAGCCTCTGGAGGAAACAGGGTAATGATTTACATGGGCCCTGGTCTGGATTAAAGGGCCCCTTCCAGCCTGGGACAGCCATGTACCTCTGGCCCACAGAGAGACCATCTTGCCCTTGTTCCCTGGTCCTAAAGGAAGCAAAGAAGGGATCCCAGATGACATCAGCTGGAATTTAGGTTCAGGTTCTGGAGCTCGGGCTGATTTTGTTGTTCCTACCTCGGAGGGAGGAAGGTACTCGAGAAGAAAGTCCCTGTGTTTGTTTGAGAACTGGCCATCTCCCCATGCAAATGCTTGGGATGGGCCCCATGGGAGGTTAAAGGGCGAGCACTGCCCCACGTAGAGCCCAGAGTGGCCCTAGTGTAGGCCTTGAAAGGTAGAAAAGGCCAGCCTATGGCCCCTGCCAGCTGTGCACAAAGTCTTGGTGCACTACCAGCGAAGGGATCCCCATTCTCTTTTCCACTACCTTTGTCCACTAGTATGGAGGACACACTCCCCTCTTTGAGGGTCTCAGCAACCTCCTTGGCCTTTTTGTGAGCCAAGCGCTTCTTCTCCTGTTCATCCAGCCACTCCTTGGGAGACAGCTTGTACAGGAAATCCTTATAGATTCTGTAATGCTGTAGAGTGTCTTCCTGTTTGGAGATTTCACTAGGCCCAGGGAAGAAAGGCTGAGGTCAGGCTCCATCTACTGTGAGGCCTGGGTGCACAACTTGTTCTTTAGAGCCAGTGCAGATGCCCTGAATGCTGGGTAAAGGGCTAGAAGCAACCAGAGCTCCCAGAATTGTGGTTGCAAGTTCCTCTTCACCCAGGGGACTCTGCCTGCTATTCTCAGGCTGCAGCCCAGGGAGCCTCTGAGCCAAACTGGTCCTGCATCGTGGTGGTGTGGCCTTGGGAAAAATCACTGAATTTCTCTTGGCCTCAGTTCCCCCATCTTAAAATGGACCAGAGTTTTCAGCAGAGATTTGAGTCTCTGAGGTATATAGCAGTAAGGGTTACATGGTCCTAAGCTCCCTTTGACTATGGGTCAATTGATGGAGGAAAATGGAGATAGTCCACTAAAAGGCCAGTGTGCTGCCTGCTTTCACCTTTTGATATTCACAATCTGAGTGGTGAGGTCCTGGATCTCCATGATCTTCTCCACTTTGGCTTTGGTCTCCTTTTCAGCCCTGAGGGATGGGTGGGGACCAGGAGGACAAACTCAGATGAGTAAATACCAGCAATCAACCACTGGCCTCCGGCTCCTGGGTTGGAGGCAGGGAGCCAGGGAACTAGCCAGTGGTCAGGGTCTGGCTAGGGGTCAGCCTGAGTTCTAGCTGAGGTTGGGTTGGGTCTGGGCCAGGGCAGAGTAAATGGTTGTGTCCATGCTCAAGGGTCCCAGGGAATGGTGTGGCTGGGCTGGCCAGCCCCTTGCAAGCTCACAGTCTCATGGCCTGCACTGAGCTGCGATCATTCTCCCAGAGGAACTCATCGAACAAGGCTGCATCCTTCTCCAGAGACTTCTCAGCCTGCTCCAGCTTGGTCTCCTCCCAGGTTGCCAGCATCTCTAGCCGCTGGATCTCACTGCGTTTCATATCCAGGGAATACTGAGGGGCAGAAGAGTAGTACTGAGGGCCAGACACTCTAACTGGAAACCTTTGTTCTGGTACAGCTAAGCTCACCTGGATGAGAAACATCTTTCGATTCTGGTCAATGTACTTGTTTATCGAATCAGGCTCCAATTTCTTTTCTGCAATGAGAGGAGGCAGGCAATTGGGAGTGAGAGGTCCAGGCTGGGCGAAGACCAGGCACTCAGAGAACCTGCTGGGGCCACAACAGGCTCCCGGACAGGGCTCTGCTGCCAGCCTGGGAGGCTACAGGATCACACGGAATAGTGTTGCTCTCTGCCACCAACAAAGGACAGAAGTATCTCCCAGTATATAGTCAATCCTCTGTAGCTGTGGATTCTAAATCCTCAGATTTAACCAATCACAGATCAAAAACTTTTGGAAAAATGTTATATCTGTTCCAAACATACACAGTCTTTTCCCTCTTGTCACTACAAATAACCTGGTATCACTTTTCACACAACTATTATATCTTGTTAGGTATTACAGTAACCTGAAGATGATTTTAAGTGTACAAGAGATGAGATAGGTGATGCACTATTTTATGTAAGAGGCTTGAGAGTTTACAGATTTTGGTCTCCAAGTGTGGACAGGAGTTTCATGGGACCCCGTGCCTGCAGACACCAAGAGATCACTGTATTACAGGCTCCATAGTTGGTGTTAGACTGGGTGGGCAATCTTGGTCTGACTCTCTTGCTGTAGTATCCCCTTTCACTTGGGATGAGGATCTGGACACTCTAGAAATTTCCACTCTAGAATGTTCACCCAGATGGACTTAATTACAAGAGGCCTAGTAGCAGAACCTGGATGAGATAGGAGAGAAAAGCAGAGTACTTGAACTCTCCAGAGCTCGGCCTTGGCAGCATCTTATTCTACTTTGACAGGGTTTTAAGCAGGCAGACAAAATTGAGGTAGAGGTCTGAACAACCTTCTAGCAAAGCAGAGGGGAGCCAAATGTGGGCCAAGGGCCATGGGGGCCTCTGTGTTGTACTTTGAGAGAGGAAGTGCTATGTGCTCCCTAACTTCAGAGTTCCAAGGAGCTGTGCTTGACACTGTGTGGCTCTTGGCTCTTGAACCTCAGAATCCCTTTTCTTTCCAGGAGAACAGCCCTGATGTGGTTGATACAGGAGCTCTTTTCTGAGTCCAGAGGCCCTGGTTTGCCCTCCTTGGGTGATTTGGGAGAATTTCCTGTCCCTCAAGAAAACCCAGCTCCTCCCTGGCAGTCAAGCTCAGCACAGAGAACTCTTGCAGCTCCACCGAGGCAGCTTCCTCCATCTTGCTCTCCCTACCTCTTCAGCCTGAGGAACAGAGAGCAGAGGCCCAAAGGTGTGATGCTGCTTCCTGGTGCCAAGTTCAGCACACAAAACTTCCAAGCAAGTTTGGGATTCCCACCCAAGTAATAAGCTGCTAGCATCAGAGGTGGAGACTGTGGAGCCCTGGCATGTTTTCTATTCACATTTAGTACCTCTTAGAGACTGGATTAAAAATGTCCCCCAAAGACTCATGTGTTCCAAGGTGGGGCTCTGGAAAATGATTAGATCCTGGAGGGCTAACTTCATTGATGGATTAATCCATGTGTTGTTAGGAGGTGGGATCTGGCTGCAAAAAGTAGGTCACTGGGGGCATAACCAAGAAGGTACATCTGGCTTCTGATTCATGTCTGTCTGTCTCCCCCCACCCACTCTGCCTTCTGGGTATTATGACATAAGCAGTGCCACGACCACTCCAGTGGAATCTGCGTGACAATGCCGACCACCTGGCAGAAACCGGATCTGAGGTATCGGCCCCGGCCCCTCGGGGTCAAGCCTCCTGGAGGTCCTTGGCATGCACCGCATTAAAAGTCAGCCAAAGAAGGAATCATTGGTTTCTTTGCCTGCAGCTTGGGTACAATGGGTTCTGTTACAATTTTGATTTATTTTCTATTGATCTCTGTGTGTTTGTGTTTTTTGAAAATGCCTAGTGGTTTTCAAGAAGGAGAAGGATTAGATGTACCCAAAGATATGGAGGATAAGAATGTCACTGTTTGGACACAGCCTTCTCAGTCAAATAATAACTGAACAGAAGGTGCATTTGAGGGGAATATTTCTTTTAAGGAAAATAGCATGTAATGTTACAGACGTTACTGATACTTCATCAGAATTACCATATATTGTCAAACATCTGAGAAACAATGATTCATTGGGGAGAAAATGGCCACTGGCATATTATCAGCTAAGATGGAAAGAAAGCTTAAACTCCTGCTAACTTTTCACAATGTATTCTATAATGATGTATTTGGCAGGCGCCAGCTCAGCAAGCGGAAATAGATGCCTAGAGAGATCAGCTCATTGCCCCTGACTTGCTATAAGGAAATAGAAATCTGTATAAAGGAAGCTCTTTGAAAAATAAATTTTGCAGCAGCATTTGCAAACTTCACCTCAGTGTTGAGTGCTTTTGTCTGTCATCGCCGAACCTGCTCCCACCTTTCAGAGAACCTGTATCTCCTCGTGAAATCCTGTGTTTGCTGCCCTACAGTCGATAGCAAAGCAGCTTTATTCTACCATACCCTCCCACCACAGCCCTTTGTCTTGTGTCCAACCACCCATGGGCTGAAACTTCTGAAACTGTGAGTTAAAATAAACCTGTCCTCCTCCACATTGTTTATTCTGGGTCTGCAGCCAAGTGAACGCACCTGGGATCACACCATGTCCCTACACTGCCTTTTTCTAACCTGATCCAGCTTTGGCATTGATTAGTTTCTTGGTCATGGCCAGTTATTTGGCCCCTTGGCAGCTCAGTGTCACCTCCTGGCTGTCAATAGTAACAACTTCCATGGGTTGTGGGAATTAGTTGCATTAATACATTGAATGTAGTAAAACAGAACATATATATGAGTTATTATTTGACATATATGTGACAGTCAGGAATCTTAAGTACTGAGTATGTATTAGCATTCTACCAATTCAAATAATTAAAAAGTTTTGAGCCAGGTGTCGTATATAGGCCTATAGTCCCAGCATTTTGGAAAGATGAGGCAGGAGGACCACAGGTTAGAGCCCAGACTGGGCAACTTAGCAAATTCGCAACAAGAATTTAAGAGTCCAGAGTTGTACCTCAGTATGAAGACCTTAGGTTCAGTCCTCAGTAACACACACACACACACACACACACACACACTCACACACGCGCATGCACACACGCAAGCATGCGGTAACATTGCAACACTGGAAAGAAGCAAAAATCAATGAGAAGTCAGCAAGGAACAAGGTAAAGCCGTTTAAAGTGCCAAAGCTTTCTTTTGGCTTGGTTTTGGGTTTTGTTGGGTTTCTTGGATTTTGTTTTGCTTTTCTTGTGTGCATTGGTGCTAGGCATAGAACCCAGGACCTCACACCTGCCAGGCAAGTGCAGAAGCACTGAGCCACACCCCTACCCGGAACTGCCTGAACTGCCTGTTCTGTATCACAGGTGTCTACCCACATTCGGCAGGCACATGCCACTGTGACCCTCAGCCTCCCAGAGCTGCAACCTGGAGTGATCAAGCCCTGGGAGGTACCAGATAGGAGTCAGACGAAGATGTGTGAAGCCCTTCTATATATATAGCAAATGTCTGCAGGCACGAGAGCCCCCAGATGCTGTCCCTTAGAGGATGACTGAGCCAGGTCCCCCTCCCCAGGCCACAAAGGGTGGCACCTTTGGTCATGATCAGCTTCCAGGCCGCTTTATCACCAAAGGTGCGCAGCTGCTTGACCTCAGCCAGCAGCGCCTGGTCATCCATCTCCTCTTCGAGCTGCAGCTCCTGCCGTAGGCTGCTGTTCTTGGCGGACATCTTGGAGGCATATGTCATTTTCTCATACACCCGCATCTTCTTCTTCCTCTCTCTCTCCTAAGAACATTGAACTGGGTCAAGTGGGGCCCAGGCTCCTCTCCCTACCCAGCATCCCACTGTGCCTGGGCTGCATGTCCACATCGGCCCCTCTGGGACTGCATATGGGGCTGAAGGGGCACAAAGACACATGAGAAGTTACACACACTCATACACTTACAAGGCGTGCACACCCAACACCATGGAGCTGGTTACCATGGAAAGGCCTAGCCCCTGTGAGTCTCATCACAGTGCCTAGGACTGAGAGTAGAGTGGGAAGGAAGGCTCACAGGGAGGCCAATCAGCTCCAGAGAACAGGGCAGCAGGCAGAGTCACCAGATAAATTATAGATGCACAGCCAGATGTGCACCCCAGATCGACAACCCGGGGCATACTCCCACTGACTGATGGTTTTATCTGAGGTTTGCAATTTTTTTGGTATCTGGAGTGCGATTTACATTGAACTGAAGACGCAGCAGTTTGATATGCTAGATACAATAAATATGCTCAAGGCACTTAGATTTGAGTTTCTGAAAGAACCATGGAGTCTTCAGTTAATCTTCAGGTTCTGTTGTCAGTGTTAGCCAACTGGAAAGTCACTGGTAGTCTGCTGTCTCCACTGATTTTCCCACTGCCCTGCACTTCCAATCTTGTCCCTGTGGGGTGCCACTATGGCCTAGCCCTCCTTTGGGAGAAGACCGCAGGATGGCGGAAGGACACCTGAGCACAGTGGATCTCTGGTCTAAGTACCACGCTCTACTGCTGGCTGGGATCTGTGGGTCTGCATGTGCCCTGCAGGGTCCTCACCCTGCCCACCCTAGGCATTGATCCCTTGCTACAATCCCTTCAGTGGGACTCTCCAGGGTCACTCTATTTCCTGTTGGGACCCGTCAGGTACCACAAACAATTCCACACCTATGAATCCTGCAGAATTTCAGCAAATGCAGGATCTAACCTGAGGCCACCAGTTGGCAGGTCTGTGTGTAATAACAGAATTGGGAAAATGTCGCCCTCAGAATCCCAGTGGCAACAGGTCCTTTATAAGGCATTGAGCAGCTCCTTGGGGGCAGGGTGAGGCCAAGGGCTGTGCTGGGTGAGGAGGGCATGAGGTTGGGGAATGTACTAGGGTGGGAGAACTTGAAGCTGAAGGCTCTGGTGGAGTGGGATCGGCAAGTTCATTTGGAGATGGACATTTAGTAGAAGGAAGAGGTTAAACAAGGCTTGAAAATTGAAGAACCCAGTCCTGCATTGGAGAATAACAAGATCTCCAAGGTCTAAGCCAGAGAGAGGTGCTGTAGTCTGCAGACCATTCTCTGAAGCTGCATGGGGCACCTCCTGGGGCAGCACCTCTCTGAGTACCTTGGTGCTTAGCATTTTGAAAGGGCTGAGGACACTGTTCTGGAATGTCTGATCAGAGGCCTGGGCAGGGCTGTGTCTTCCCACCAGTGCCCAGCTGGTGCTGGGATGAAGGTCTAGCTGCCCTGGGAACCGATGCCTTACAGAATCCCTGAACCAGGGCAAGCAGCCCAGGAAAAGGCCAGGATGTCTGCTTGGGTGGGCAGGCAGAGGCTTGCGCTGGCTGTGCTGGGGGCTGTGGGAGCAAGTGGACTGCCCTAACCTCTGGGCACAGCTCTCATAGGGGAATGCAGGGAGTGTACCAGTGTGCAGACAAGACTTGGGCAGGGTGTTGGGCCTGCCCCCAGGATGCTGAGGCACTGCGGAGGGGCATGTGTATGTGTACCCATGTGCATACCAGGCCTCCGAGATTCCAAGGAGAGAGTGGCCACTTAAGGCTACAGCAATCAGACAAGAGGGCCCATGAGGTCTAAGAGGACCTTGGAAGGACAAGGAGAGTGGGAGAAGGGAATGGCATTTCACACAGGGGACAGTGAAAGAGAAGGTAGCCAAGGTCGTGACTACTACAGCCCAAGGAACCCTTTACGACCAAGGCCCAAGAACAACAGGGATGGAAACAGGTAAGATAGATAGGGACAAGTCAGAAGTCTGAGAGCCCATGCAGTGTTTCTAGGTAATTTTGAAGGAAGAGGTGAGCCACTGATTATTCTAGAGTGATAGTAACCCACGGAAAGTGCTTTGCTGAGAAGGGAAGTGTGGCACTGTTTCTATGACAGAAAGAACCATGAAGGAAAGAGAAGCTTCGTGGAGGAGCTGGTCCCTGTCCTGGATACTCACTGAGATAGCCTTATTCCGCTCCTGATCTCTGAACAAGAAGATATCCACATCTCCAGACACATGGAAAGGATTAGCTGAACTATCTGGACTGCTCACATGCCCTGGGAGGGAAACATTTTGTTGGAGAAAGGTGCAGCCAGTTCTTCCAGGCAGTGTGGTCTGTGCCTCTGGGGTCCCTGAAGCCTCCCAGTCCAGCATGTGATACACAGAATGAATGGCAAATGTTCTCTTGGATCCAGCTCTGCCTGAAGTCCACTCCTGGATCCTCCAGCTCCATAAATTTACCTTTGTGGTTTAACCCAGTGTGAGCCGGGCTGCTGTTCCATACATCTGAAAGAGAGCTCATGAACATGGCCTTTGTGCCTCAAGCATCTGCCCTCTGTCTTTTCCTTTAAATCCTTGGGAAACCATCTGACATAGAGGAGGGAAGTCAGAGCACACTGTTTCTAAGTGGTGAAGGCAGGTGCTCAGGTCTGCTGACTCTGAGCCGTGGGTCCCCAGGTGATCATGTGTTTGTCTTTCTAGGAGCCTGTGTGGGCCTCCGGGGGTAAGACTGGCTGGACAGCTGTCCTTGTGCAGGTCTGTGTTGCTGGTAATCTCCGTGATTTTTTCCCCCACACTGAGTTCGATTCAGAGAGAAAGAAGAATGGGTGGAGGAAGGAAAGGAGAAGAGAGACAGAGGGAGAGAGAGAGAAAGAGAGAGTCTAGTACAGATGGCCAAGGGAAGCAGAGAGGTCAGCAGAGGCCCTACTCCCTACTCCCAATATCATTATAAATATATCTAAAACTGTAGACAGCTCTGGAAAACAAGAGGGCTGCTGCTGAGGTAGCAGAGGTTGTTAGGCAGCTTTGGGAGACCATGTCAGCACCAGAAAGCACACAGACAAAGACAGAATGGGTACATCCCACGGGAGAACTGACACCATGGCTCAACAAGTCCAAGACACAGAGAATTAAAGGATGGGGGGCGGGGCTTTGTGAAATGAAAAGAGGCTGAAGTGATTTGGTTCTCAGCAGAATCCTGATTAGCACAAACTTTCTGCAGGAAGATATTCCTGACTTTGTCAACTTATGATGGGACCATGGGCTTGTAAGGAAACATCCCTACCGGTGACAAGTACACACTGTAGTGTTTATGAAGGAAATGAAATTACATTTGAAGTAAAATGGATTTTATTTTAAAGAGTCCTAGCAAAGACAAAAAGGAAAAAGAAGAAAAGGATAGATTAAGCAGAGGCAGTAAAGTCATGCCAAAGTAACAATCTGAGGATGGTCCTGTCTCTTGTGGTTTCACTTCTGGGCAGGTTTGAATTTTCATAATTGAAAGAAGGAAGAAGAAACAAGGTGGGGTGTGTGGTGGGAGACTCCAGAAGATGCTCCCATCATAGACGTCAGTGGAAAGATCAGACCAGCCTGTGAGCCCAGGGACAGAGCAGGACCAGGAGGAAGTCCAGGCGAGCCGAGGCACAGACAAATGGCAAGAAGTAGGTTCCCTGTGCAGAGGATACGGGAATGAGTCAGTCGAAGCTGGCTGCCTTTCCTGCTCCCTCTAAATAGATTATAACAATGTGCCTGACTTTAATAGGTCTCTTTGTAGATGCTGATGGTCACATGACAAATTTTGGGCAGTGGACTGTGGGCAGACATTGCTGTGTGGGCCTTCCAGAAAGAATCCTTTCCCTGGGAGAGATGAGCTGGCAGCTGAGTAGTTCTGTCCTTCCCTTTTTCCCTTCCTGGAATCAAATATGATTAGGTGGCTGCAATCACTTTGCCACCATGAGGCTATCTTGTAGTTGAAAGTCCTAAGCCCTTTCCAGTGAAGCAGAAAGACTTGGAAGTGCCATTTGTGGAACACTGTGAAGCTTGGGACTACCTTATTTACCTTTACTGGAGGAAAAAAATAAATCCTACTTTGCTTATATTTGGCAGCTCCATTCTCGACAGAAACAGAAGCATCTCCCTCTTCCCTTAGCACTAGAGACTAAGTTTGAGGGCATCTGCAGCCAAGGGAAAGGATTACCTCCAACCAACTCAGACTTTAGCCACCCTGCTTAAATGTTACCTTTGCCTGTTTTTGCACTTTTCTCCAATTTTTCAAGGACTGAAGAAGAACTGTTCCTGGATTCCAGACTCTTCCCTGGGGAGACACAAAAATGAGAGCTATGGCAGTGACATGTCTGAAACAGAGCTATGAACATAGTGCCAGGCAATGGGGGAGCCTTGGGTGCCAGCATCAGTTCCTTACCCCTTGCTGAGCAGATAGATGGCAAGTCACCTGGCTTCTTAGAGCCTTGGTTTCTACATCTGAGATGACCAGACTGACTTTGCTGGGAAATTGTGAGAGTTGTGCAAGAGAAAGGCCATCCAATGTTCCACTCACACGCTAGGCACACAGTGGAGTTATTTATTTATTTATTCATTGGTACCGGGGATTGAATTTGGGACCTTGCAATTTGCAAAGCAGGCGGCGGAACCACTGAGCTACGTCTGCAGCCCACACAGTGGATATTTTGTGGCCCCCTTTCATACCCTCTACTTCATTCCTTAAGGTCGGTGCAAGACATTTTAGAGATGTGCACACAGGGGCTCAAGCAGATTAAAGACCCCAGACTTCAGACTTTGATCTGGCTGGTGCTGCTGCCTTCCTAGGCTCCCCTCAAGCCTTTGAACAGAGGATTTCAAAACCAGAGTTCTTCTCAGAAAGCACCCATCCCATTCCACCAGAAAGAATGGCCCTGCCAGCCCCAGCCTTTTTTGCAGGTCTAGGAAGCCAGAGGTGGTTCTAGGAAGCCAGGACCTCCTTCCCAGAGGCTGGCAAGTCTCTCAGCTTGGGCAAGATCCCCAGCACAGCCTTTCTTTAGGTGACATGTCCTGCTAGGGCCCCTGCCTTGTTCTTGTTGATGGATACCCACAGGGAAGGAGGCAGGTGGCCCAATAGTAATGCACTCCAGCCCAGGTATCACCTGGAGCTTAGAGATCCAGATCCCTGCCCCAGGACTGGGGATGAAGGAGCCAAAATGTGCTGTGGTGGGTAGGTCCTGGGAACAGGCTGCGGAAAGAGTGTGGTTCCCGAGGGATCCCAGATTTTGACGAGGGCATGACAGTGAAGGCAGGACCCGGTCAGGGAGGTAGGGGATGGGATACAAAGACCCAACCCTGAACAGAAGGGTGAAAGGTGAATAAGTAGGAAGATGGAGGGAGACTGAGGCAGGGGAGCAAGAAGGTCGGGCCTAGAGCTGAAACTCAAATGCCATCAACACCCTGCAGAATATACAGTGTCAAATGGGAGGAAAGGAGGCAGCAGGGAGTGGGGAGGCCTGTGGGGAACTCTGGAGTTCAGACTCCTGAATAATTCCTGTTTCCTAATATTCCTTCCTAGTGGGCATGTGGTTAGATTTCTTGGTGGTAAATCTTAATTAACCCTGTCATAAAAATCAGAAGGTATCAAATATCCAAAACAAATGAAGTCATATAAGTAGACTAAAACCAAAAACACAAGTCAAACCCTACTTAAAGACTTGGTTCTTAGTTTAAAAAAGAAAAGAAAAGAAAAGAAATATAGCTAGGAGTGGTGATGCACACCTGTGGTCCCAACACTCTGGGAGGCTGATGCAGGAGGGATGTAAGTTCAAGCTCAACCTCGGGAACTTAGTGACTTAGCAAGACCCTGTCTTAGTATTAAACATTTAAAAAGTACTGGATACATGGCTTAGTGCAAAGATCTTGGGTTCATTCCCCAGTACCACAAAAGATAAGATACAGACATGTACAGCAAAAAAAATTTGGACAGCTCAGGCTTGACGCATTGATCCAATGAATATTGTTGATGCAATGTGATGGTAAGATGAAAACTCCTCACTGGAAGCCCACTAACCTAACAAAGATCTCGCTCTCTCATTAGAAGTACTGCGTGCATGCACACACTTCAGTGTTGCTTTTTCACTACGAAATACCTCTGCTAACAAGCTGTAACGAGTAAAACAAGCCAGTCGTCAGAGGACAAACAAGGGATGAATCCAAACCTATGAGCTTCCTAGAGTAGTAGCCTTCCTCAGGACAGGAAGTAGCTGGTGGTGCCAGTGTGGAGCTGAAGTTCTCTGAAAAGCTGCCTCTGTATGAGAGACCCTGCAAGCTTCTTGCACTTGGCTGGGTGTGACACAGTGATTATGGAGAGATGGAATATCACAGGTCAGGAGCCAAAATTCTCTTGGCCTGTCTCAGCCCTCTTATTTATTATTTATTAAGTGCTACCAGAGAGCAGACCTAAGGCCTTTGTACTAAGCTACATCCTAGGCCTCTTTTTTTTTTTTAATTTTGAGGCGAGGACTTACTAAGTCACTAAGTTGCCTGAGTTGGGCTCAAGCTTGCCACCCTCCTGCCTCAGCCTCCCAAAACGCTGTGATTTTAAGTTCACCACCACACCTGGCTAATTTTAGATTTTTGCAACATTCTTACGACTATGAAGCTTAGCCTATTCTAGCCTCCACCAGCCGTAAAGCTAAAAATGCCATAACATGAAACCTACAGTAAACGATTTCCTCGTAGCCTGCATGCCTGGTGCTATTTACGTGTTTGTTGACTGTAGTGATTTATGACTTTCTTTGTTCTTTGGCTATAAAAATTCACCTAACTTTTTTTACCACAGATTGTGTCCTTCGAGGTAACTTGAATCCATGCTCCCAGGACACAGTCACTCATCTTGGACTCAAACTAAGCCATCACTGTTCCTTCAGAGTAGAGTTGTTATTTCACATAGACACCAGGGCTGGTGGGGAATGGGGGTGGGTAGGTGGGTAAATGCTTCATGAGGAAAGAGTTTCAGTTGTGAGATAAAAACATTCTAGAGATGCAGGATGGTGACGGCTGAACAATATGGATATGCTTAAGGCCACTGAACTTTGAAACACTAAACCAGGTGAGATGGTCTGTTTTATGTTATGTGGATTTTTACCATAATTTTAAAAAGTTTAAAGCCCACCTGCTCACACTTGGATGTCATCTATACTTAATCCGGTGAGTCCCTTGATGGACTCTGAGGTTCTTTCCCAGGCGTTTGCAATTTCCAAACAACTTTTGCAAAGACCACGCTGGATCACCAAGGTGAGCCATTCGGCTTCTTGCACCCACCCCCAACTCCTGTCACTCAAATCGGTGATGCATGACACCTTGATTTTCATTTCATTTCCTAGCAAAGTCACTGCGCCTTTCAGATATTTATCCCCCAAGTAATGGAGATTCAACCCAGGGTTTCCGCTCTAAGCTCTAACCCCAGCTCTTTGCAAAAATTGTTATTCTGAGAAAGGGTCTCTGCATGTTAAATCGCCCACCCACGCCTAGTCTTCCTGCCTCAAATCCCACAGTGCTGACGTTAGCTGTGTACCACCACACATGGCCTCAGATGTTAATTGCCCATTTGTTTGCCTCTTTGCGTTACTATCTTTTGCTCATGTTTCTGTTGGAAGGATGTAGACTTTAAATGATGCCTGAGACCTCTCATCTGTTAAAGGACACCGGCTCACCTGTCAGAGATGCTAAACATATTTTTCCTTCAGGACATCTATCAATTACATTTTGGCTTTATCTATGTTTTCCTTGCAGGAAATTATCATTTTTGCTTAATGAACTGTTTTTGGAGTTTTGTGTCTTACTTAGAAAAGGCATGCTGCATCCAAAAATTAAATGTATTTTTTAAAAATCCTATATATTCTTAAAGTACTTTAGCAACACATAGTTTTTAAAATTGAAAAGCCAAATGAGGTGGTGCACACCTGGAATTTCAACTAGTCAGGAGACTGAGGCAGAAGGGCCCAAAGTACAGGTCAACCTGGGTAACGTGAAAACCCTGTCCCAAAATAAACATAAGGTAGAGATATAGCTCAGTGCTCCCTAGCCTCAATTCCTGGTGTTGTAAAATAAAATAAAGTCTTTAAAATAAAAGTCTGTTTTTAGAAATGAGGTAGAAAAAAATAAAGAGGTTAAAAAAAGAGACAAGGAAACTAGAGTTCTAAGGCATGGTCAAAGTCACCCACGACTGTCGCCCTCTGCCATACCCTTACTCCCTAGGCTTGTGACCAGGCATTTAAGGAATTCAAGACTCAGCTTGTACCGTTCTCATATATTAGTTTACCATCTAGCTGGAAAACTTGCAAAGTCAGATTGGGTGACATCTTAATTCGCTCAAGATTAAAGAATGAACAAAGATTGGGTAACAAGGAGAGGCTGGACTAAAAGCAGGATGAAGCTTGGCATTTGTGCCTCCAAATTTTTGTCTTTCTTGTCATCTTCAAGCTTTGGGTCAGATTCCTGCTTGGCTCTGTGCAGAGGCATGTTAATGCCTTGAGAAGTGTCTGTATTAAATGGTTTATTAGCTTTAAGTGTACCTAGCCTATCCCATCACCCTTCAAGATAGAGAAAACCAACATATGAGTAACTAGGGTAATTTTCAGGATTCACAGAGACATCTGATTGTCAGGTTTACAACTGACAACATCCAGTCCCAGACCTCTGGAGCAATGCCTGAAAATATCCAGTCACTGTCCTAAAATTACAATCAATCGCACTGGATTTCAGGAAAACCAGAGCCTCGCAGACCTCAGGATGATGTCACTTCCCCAAGTGGGAGGCAATTACCCCATAACAGGAACTGAGCAGGCCTCCAAGGATGAACAACCTTCTAGCAGGAGCCAAATTGTGCTTTAAGCCATAAGGATTCCTCCAGAGCTACAAAACCAGAACTGAGCAAATGATCAGTCAGGCCCTGGCCAAAAGGCAGGTCTCCTCCTGTGATTGGCCTAGTCGGAACCTCTTCAACAGAGCGAGCCCCTCCAGCTGCTCAAACTGCAGCCCTTCCTCTATCCTCCCTCACTTTCTAACTCTTGCCTGTGTCTGCCTCTGACTCACATGGGTGCTTTTCTGTGATGAAAGTTGACAAACCAACTCCACAGGGCGAGGTGAAGTCCCCATTTCCTCTTTGGGGGACACCTTCTTGAATCCCATCTGCTGACAGAATAATTTAGAACAGGAAAGGGTTGATCTGCGCATGAGATGTTCACCAAAAACGATAAACACTTCCTGGGCAGAGGGAGATACAGAGTGAGACCGGAGCATCAGAAGTGTCCTGTCTCCATGATGCAGGGGCTCATGGAAAAAAGCAAGATGCAGAAAGTATTTTCATTGTGTGGTCATTTGTGTGGGGAAAGGACACACTCCATCCACATGTATCTTGAAAGTGCACAGAGCATGCTTGGAAGGAACACCTCTGAGCTGTCCAGGGACAGGGTAGGGATAAGCTTTCCAGAAGGCTGGGATGGGGGACTTTGAATAGACTTTGAATTTTGAAGCCCGGAATATTTTCTTTAGCCAGAAAAATTAAATTTAAATTTAAAATCTGAGGAGAATCAAAAACCTATAGATGGCATTGTTCACTGAGTCCTCATAGCCTCTCTTGTGCCACACGATGTGAGTATCTGGAGCACATATGTTGTTCCATTAGAGAAGGGACATTCACCCAGGGCCTGGCACTGGTTAGCCACCTCATTAAGGCTCTGCCTCGTACCCATGGTGAGCATAAAGCTAAAAGAAGCTCACTTCTGTAGGGGCACCTTCCTTGTGACCTGTTAAGAGCTGAATTGTGCCACCCCCTCCCCAATTGGTATATTGAAGTTCTAACCCCCAGTACCTCAGAACATGGCCTTATTTGGAAATAAGGTCATTGCTTATGTAATTAGCTTAGTGGGGGTCTAGAGTAGGACAGATCCCTACTCCAGTATGACAACCACCCTTATAAAGGAAGACTTGAACAGACACCCTGAAGGCCAGAGTGCCATGTGAACATGAATGCAGAGATCAAGGTGGTGCCTCAAAAGCCAAGGAAAGCCAAAGACTGCAGGCACCAGCAGAAGCCAGGAGAGAGGCCTGGCACAGACTCTCTCACACCTTCAGAAGCAGTCAGCCCTGCTGACACCTTGATCTCAGATTTTTAGCCTCCAGGACCAAGATACAATAATGTCTGCCGTTGAATTCACTCAACCTATGGGTGGTCATTTATCAAAATAGCTGTAAAAAACAGTACATGTTTTTCATAGTAAGGAAACATAGCAAATCTGTGATTTCTGTGTTCTGGTCAGATGTAGAGCTGCTTTAATTCTAGAATAAATTCCAGACCTGATTGTCCCAGGCTGTGAGGTTAGTTTTGATCCCGTCTTAGTACTCACTGTCATAGGTTACATTGTTGGAGTCCCGAGTGGATGATATCTTGGACATCATGGCTGGGGACCAACGGGTCAACTCAAAGCTTGACAACTGCTGAAGGAGAGCCTCGCCTGGAGAGTAACACAGTGTGTGTGTGTGTGTGTGTGTGTGTGTGTGTGTGTGTGTGTGTGTGTGTGGCTGCAGTTCCCCATGGCCCACAGCCCACTTCACCTCTGGGCAGCTGAAAACCACTGACATTTGCTGAGGGATTACCATATGGCTACAGCTGAAGGCCCCTTCCTCCCCACTTCACTGGCTCCACTGACCCTCATAGTCATGGCTCCAGCTTCCCTAAGCTTTCTGTTCTTAGAACAAATGCATCAACTTTGGTCTGCCTCAGGGCCTTTGCACTTGCAGCCTCCACAAAAAAATGTTCTCCTGCACCTAGCTGGGACTAAGTGGCTTCTCTCAAAGACCAATATCACCCTTCAAAAAGACCTTCCCTCTCCTCCCTATCCAAAGAGATAGCCCTTCCCCCACCCCCAGGTAACCTCATTTGATTTTCTTCTCTCCAATTACCTACACAATTTTCACTTTTTACAAAATCTGTTTATTGTCTATTGCTGCATTAGGGCAAAGGTTAGGCTCTTCTCATCAAAACTCCTTACTTGTCCTTGGCACTCTACTGATTTTTTTTTCCTTCCTTCCTTCCTTCCTTCCTTCCTTCCTTCCTTCCTTTCTTTCTTTCTTTCCTTTTCTTTTCTTTTTGGAGGAGGAAGCAGAGACTCACTGAGGTGTCCAAAGTCACCCAGCCAGGAAGGACTGGCTCCCACATTCCAGTCCAGAGTTTCCTTGACTCTAAGGCTTGCAACATTTCTGCTACATTCCTGCCACAGTCCCCTGGTGAGAGGAATCCCAAACAGCCCAGAGAACTTCGGGTTAGCAAGGCTTCACCTCCTAAAACCCTAGCTCCGCCAGGCCATGCCCTCTGGCTACACAACAAGAATGCAGCGGTACTGAGGACCAGAGGACAGACAAAGCTCGAGTAGTGACAAAGGAAAAATAAAGGAAAGGCGTGGAGCTTTCGAAGAGGGGCTAGCTAGGAGCCTTCAGAAGAAGGCTCCGCCCCTGCCCCTACGCACCCCGGGTCACCCCAGTCTTGCATCTTTGCCCGCCGGGCCCATGCACCCCCCAAATCCAGCCCAGCGCTCACGAACTGGCCACGCACCGGCCTCGCGCACCCTGGTTAGCTCCGAATCCTTAGTGCCACTGTTCTCCAATCTGCACTTCTGGGGCCTGAGTTTACATCGCCAAGGCAACCATTCTCCTGGCCGCTGTGACGTCACAAAGGCCGAGGAGGCGGGGTCGCTTGCAGGGCGGGAGAAGGACTGGAGTTTGGGGGCTGCCGCAGCTCTTGGCTGTTGGCCCAGGATGAGGAATCCGTGACCTGGAAGTTTCTTTCCTCATCATTCCTTATTGCGCGCTTCCGGTAGCTTTTACATCCAGGTAGTTTATTCAAGACGTGCCAGACACTGAGCTCAGGATGAGGGAAACAAAAGTAGGCGTGGTCCTTTCCTGAAGCACTTTATAGAGGGCCAGTTCTAAAAGTGTGGTCTGGGACTGCAGCCTCCGCAATGCTGAGAACTCGCTAAAAAGCTCCAGTTCTGGAGGTGGAATCCAGCAATGTACACGTAAGTTGCAACAAGTTCTTCCTGGCATTGGACACATAATAAACACAAATAAGTGACACTAAGGTGAACTAAGGTGGGGGAAAAGTGCCGTGAACAAGAACATTCTGGATGGTCCAGATTCACCAGTTACTGCAACCAGGGGCCTCAGCTGTACAGTCCCCGGATCAGCAGGAGACAGACCATTTCCTAGATCTCTGACCAGGACCACCTTGGAGCTGGGTGCACAACCAAAACTCTGTCTTTTCAAGGACATTCAAGGGCCTTGGGGAACTCTGGAGCAGTCTCACAGCCAATAATGGGGTACCAGTGACAATCCAGGCAGCCTCTAGCTCTGCCCAAAGCAGGTGTACTGGATGGGCAATGCAGAGGTGGGAGTGCAGAAGTGAAAAGAGCAGGAACCCCCTGTGTCACTACTGAGGACAGTGTACTCATTGGTAGTAGTCACAGTGGGTTTTGTACAAGGCAGGAAGAAAGTGTCACTGTGTTAAGCTATATATGTGATTTGTAAGTGTGTGTATAAAACGTTAATACCCTGAGGAAATGAGTGACTCTCTTTCCTCTCTAGAGGCCCCTTACAATATCCTCCAAAATCCTCAATGGTCTAGCCTCAGCCTGTCTCTGCAGCCTCATCTCCCTACAAAGTGTCAAAAAGTAGCAGGATAAAACAAAACAACAACAAAATACAACTTCACATTGTACTTATGTTTTAATTAAACAGAAGATGCACTTGATGAATTCAGGTAGGATGAGGTTATCTTAAACACCAGGATTTTTAATGAAGCTTTTAGAAACCTAGAAAATAAGCAACCCTAATAGAGGAAAACTGGTGAGAGTGCTGCCATTCCACTGTTATTGACAGATAGATCCATGCATCTCCCCAGGAGCCCTTACAAGGACTCTTCCATACGCCAGGCACTGTTCTGATGTATTATTGCAATTCATCTATTTAACGTGCATGGCCACCCTATGGAATAGGTTGCATTATTGCCTCTCCACCTTTCCACATGCAGCTAGTGAGGCCAAATCTGGGCTTAATAGTTAGGCAAGAGAATCCCAACCTGTGCTTTTAACTAGATACTCTCTGCCTCTTACCAGGAATGGTTGGCACTGAGATTTCCAAGGGGACCCTTCAAGAAGCGTTCAGAAGATTCCGCCCCATACCCTCCAGGCCACAGGCTGCTTGGGAAAAGCCCAGGAAATCTGAAGCTGTACTCTGTAATATGTATACTTTTGTCTATTTTAGCACTTAGCTCTTTAGAAGGTTAGAAGCCATCTAGAAAGTTTAGTTTGGTTTGGAAATTTCAATCTTAGCTTAACATCGTTTGTCAAAAGCTCTTTTTAAAAACAAGATGGGCTGAAGAAGTGATGGAAGGATTGACAGACGTGATGTGTGACAAGCAAGAGCAGTAATGTGTTCACTGCAGGGCTTAAAGTGGCTCTCTACATTTTTGTGTTTCAAGTTTGAAAATTTTCATAACCTATTTTTGGGAAAAGCTAATAATCTTCCTAAAAGGGGAATTTGTATTTGTGATTTCATACTGCCTTCCTTGACCAAGTGGTCAGTCCAAAGTCCTGTGAACAAGCAATAAAAATCAACTATGGCCAGTTAAAGGGGAAGAGGAAATGGAGGCATTCCCAGCATCTGCAAGACAGGGAACCAGGCCTAGAAACGTTGTAGCCAAATACAAGAGCAGAGCATGAAGCTGGCTGTGAGTGTGTTCTGGGGGAGAGACAAGACCTGCGATCCAGTGCCCACCAGCATCTTCTGCCTGGTAGCATGTGGGTCACCTTCCTGCACCTTGTTCTTGCCTCCAAACCAAGTCTCTGGCTTCTGTAGTGGGAAGTACGGATTCTGGGAGAAGGAATACCCACATCTAGGAAGAGTTTTCAGAGAACTAACAGAATAAGATGCCCACAAGACCGCACCATGTCTCTTCTCCACTGCCCATGGCCTTGTCACAGGACAGAGTCCCTCCATCCATCCATGGCCTTGGTGTCTTCCTCTCGCATTAGAGGAGGGGTGGGGTGGACTAATCCTTCTCTCTGCTGGTTTCTTGTGAGGCAGTACAAGGCTCACTTCCAGGAAGCAGTTCTTTTCCTTTTGCTCACACTCAGATCATCTCAGTGGCTCATCTTGCCCTATGTCGCGAGCCGCAACGTCAGAATCCTGCCAGCAGGTCCCAAACCCGAGGGAAGAACAACAGGAGAGCAGTTTCACGAACTTAGTTCTAGGCTCATGCTCTACCGCAGCAAGGCCCCGTTTATTTTTCAGGGTAGGGTATATATAGGGTAAAACCGAAACTGAAAGTACAAACAGGGCGTAGCAGACTGGAAAGGTCACAGGATGTAGCAGACTGGAAAGGTCACAAGGTAAAGTACAAACAGGGTGTAGCAGACTGGAAAGGTCACAAGGTTCTACAAGTATTATGGGCTACATTTGCTAGGCAACAGGTCAGACCACCAGTTGAACCAGCCCGTTGTCATGGGCTACAGCACATCCGTGCCGGCGGGGTGACTCAAAGTTCAACCATGGCTAGGCCTATGTCAAGGCTTACCATGATGGCTCACCATAGACCTAGATGGTGGCCACCTGCCTGCCTTGCCGGCTCTCCACAGACATTTCCCTTTCCCCAGGCTCCTTGTCCTCTGCTGCCTGGGTAGGTCCAGTGGGTGAAAGAAGAGGAGCAGGACCATGCCCTTACTCCACCTGCTGGGGCATCTTGGTTTGTGACTGCGACTTCTGCAGCCACTTCCTCCCTGGGTGTACAGTCCTCTCGCCCGTCTCTGACTGCCTCACCATTCCCTTTTTGACATTCACTTCCTTCCATAAGTGTGAAGACATGTAGCTGCTTGTCCAAGACCTCATGGGCCATAGTGGCAGAACTGGGACTCAAACAGGGGCAGTTTGACTCTACGGCTCAACTACCACCCCATGCCTCTTTCCACTGGCCAGGAGAGGCAGTGCTTAGCCTGGGGGGGGTGTCTTGGGACCCAGGAGTAGAAATGGGCTCTGTCTCCTGCTCACACAGGCCGCCCCAGACATGTCAGCCGGAGTGGGAAGCGGGTGCTGATCTTTGGTGAGATCACTAACTCAAGGTGAAGGCAGGCATGGTGCAGCTCACAGCAGTAAACAGATCTGGACAGCACTCAGCCATCCACTAATACTTCCTAGATTCTGGAGGTTTCATGTGGAGTGGAGCAGAATGACATAGAATGCATCTGAAGCAGGCAGAAAGTTGGAGAATTCTGGTGACTTCCCAAATCCAAGGCCAGAATCACCTTCATGGTAAATACCTAAATGTTGAGACTGCTTACATGACGGCTTTCTTGTGCTCATAGGTGCAGCTCTGAAGGAGGACTGAGCCAATTGTACTATATTTCATGGTGAGTCAGGGCTTCCTGTGGGAAGTGTGCACTTGACTTTCTACACACTGCACTCTGTAGGACTGCTGTCTGTCACATTTCAGGAAAAGCAGAAGTCCTACTAGAGCAGTAGTGGCAACCCTATGGTACCCATGCTGAAGCAGGCATGCAGAGCCCTCTCTGTAGCACCCAAGCCAAGTTGCCCCGGCAGCTAATCACCAAATAACAGTTGTTTTTTTCTAAAGTAAAATCTCAGTATTTAGGTTTAATGCAGTGTTGGCACTTTGCGATACATATGGTAAGTGGGTTTGGGCACTCAGTCTCTAAAAGGGTTGCCATCACTGTCTAGAGCATCATAAGCCCTGCCTCTCTCCCTCTCTGGGCAATTGTCCAGCTCCAGTCTTCGGAGGAGTCCTTGATGGCTCCAGTGATACTCTAGCCTGGCATGTTTTCCATTGTGTAAGCAATCACATTAGATAGATTGTAGGGGATTTAGCTCAGTGGTTCTGCTGCCTGCCTCACATTAGATAGATTGTCCTCCTGCCATCTCAGATGGACACTACATGATGGCAAATAACCAGCACTCAACTTTTATGTTTCAGTACCATGATGGAACTCAGGGCCTTGCACTTACCAGGCAGGCACAGAGCCACTGAGCTAGATCCCCAGCCCACCAGCACTCAATTTTGGCCTCCATATCACAGGCTTACACATTTCACTACAGCACACGAACACCTGTGCAAGTGAAAGCCCACAGCAGGGACAGTGATCTTGGAGGGCAGCCTAGGGGTGGTATCACTAGGACCAGGATAAAGGATGAATAGGGTCCAAATAGGCAGATGGAGCTGTGTGAGTCAAGGAAAGCAGAGGACAAGGAAGAGTATGAGCCTGAATCCAGGGAACACAAGTGACTCTTCAGGGTTGCTTGATGATGATAAAGGCAGTAGTGATGGAAGGACACCGCAACAATGGAGGCCTCTGACAGGCAGGTCACAGAGAGTTAGGATGTCCTTCCAGAAGTAATGAGGGTGGGGTTTTTTCACACCTGTAAAACAAAGGGACAGCACGGTCACAATCAAGTTTGTTATATCATTTGAGCTTCAGATTTCTGGAGAGAAGGGGTTGGATTGGGAGGGCAAGCCAGAGGCACAGGACAGTGCTAGGAAGCAGTACTGGTTGCTTCCAGGCAAGAAACAATGATGACTCAATAGAGACAAGGTAGAGGGTATCACAGTTCCCAATGTGAAACTATACTGCAAAACTGCTGTGATAAAAACAGCATGGTACTGGCAAAGAAACAGACCTGAGAACCAGTGGAGCAGATTAGAAGATGCAGAAACAACTCCAGACACACTCAGCCACCTCATCTTTACCATGGAGCCAAACACCCTCGCTGGAGGAAAGAGAGCCTCTTTAATAAATGTTGCTGACCCAATCCAAAAATGGGCATCTGAAATGAATAGACATTTCTCACACAAAGAAGTAGAAATAGCAAATAAACATATGAAAAAATGTTCAGCATCACTGGTCATTGAAGAGATGCAAATGAAAACAATACTGAGATTCCACCTCACCCCAGAAAAAATGGCTGCTGTCATGAAATCAATAACAAATGATGGCAGGGCTTTGGGAAAAGAGGAACCCTGCTCCACTACTGTTGGGAGTACAAACTGGTGCAACCACTGTGAAAATCAATATGGACATACCTCAGAGAACTAGGATCAGAGGTCCTCTTTGACCCAGCTATTCCCCTTCTGAGTATCTTTCCCAAAGAATTAAAAGATCCATACCACAGTGATATGTGCTCACCCATGTTCATAGCAGCACAATTCGTAATAGTTAAAACTTGGAAGCAGCCCAATTGCCCATCAACAGGAGACTGGATAAAGAAAACGTGGGTTTTTAAAAAAATAAAATTGAGTACTACTTCGCCATATAGAATGAGAAACTAGAGACATTTATAGGTAAATGGGTGCACATTGAGGCGATACTCTTAAGAAATAAATAGGACACATAAGTGTAAATACCGAATAGTCTCTGTAACATGAGAAACTGAAAGTGTAAATAAGGAGTAAAAGGCATAATAGATAATGTGAAATAGGAAGAAAAAGGACAAAGGGGAAGGGGAAATGGGAGTAATAGGGGAAAGGAAAGATGGGAATGGAATTAACATGAGAAAAAAATGGAAACAAAGTCTTTGTAGATAGGGAGGGGTGGAGGGGCTGAAGGGAGAGCAGGGAATGGGGAAAAAATGAGAACCAAATGGATTATGTAAAGGTGCAAATTTCCAATGATGACTGTCACTACATTGTATTCCTTAAGTGTACCAATAAAATTAAGTAATTTTTAAACATTATGACTTAGATGAAGATGGAGGCAGTTGAGAGAGGCTTGGAACTATATTTGGGATCAAGGATGGATAAATGGGCTGAAAGGTGAGGGGATGCACCTGGACTAGGGTAGGTTGAGATTTGCTGAAGTGGAGAACCAACAAGAGGTAATATGCGATTGAGCCTCCCTCCCTCCCTTCCTCCCTCCTTCTGAAACAACCTGCCTGCAGAGTGTCACAGGATGACTGAGTCCTGTGATTGTGTATTTGCTATATTCCATTCACTAATGGATATGGGATATTCTTCCTTTGGGGTGGTGAAAATGTTTTCTTATTAGAGTATGGTGACTGCCGTGCAATTCTTAATACAGTAGATACACCTTACATGGGTGAAGTTTTTTGTATGTGAGCTCTGTTTCAATATACATTTTAAAAAGGAGAAGAGAAGTGACCTGTATCAACAAATACTCTGAAAGAGGACAGTGAGGGACTGAGAAGTGCTCACTGGGTTTGCCAATGAGTGGGTGCACTTGGAATCTCCTGGGGTAAGATGGAGGGCGAGGAAGAAGACACAGAACACAAAGGCAGGTTTCAAGGGTCTCGGCCATAGCGGTATCTTGCTCCGTTCTGGGTGGAGCTGACCTGAAGTGGCACTGGGACAAGGGGCAGTTCTTCCTGAAGGCAGCCCTGAAGCCCACTTGGTCATCAAAGCCAGACTTAATGCCACAGTTCGGGAGGTAGGTGGCTGGGCTTGAGAATCAGCACGGTGGAGTATGTGAGCTGGATCTGAGGTGGTACTGCAGAGACAAGGCAACTGGGAAGAGGGATGACGCTAGATTAGGCTCATGGACTAAAAGGAACTGAGAAAGACAGAGATGAGGAGGAAAGGGAGGAAGGAGGAGGGGGAGAAGTGGAGGAGGAGAAGGGAAGAGTGGGAAGAGGTGGATGTTAGCCTCCCTGACCACTCCCCTGAAGTCCAGACTGATAATCTCTCTTTTCGCCCCCAAAACAATGGTCTAGGTCATCTCACCAGAGATACTGTGGATGTGTCTGCTCTGCAGTCCATGAGGTCTGTGGGGGCAGGAGCTGCACCCCATGACCCTTGACCCAAACGCTTCTTTGTGCAGGGTCTGCCTAGTAGATGCAAGGTGTTGAACACCTATTCGTGTGGGGATAGGGAAGGGAATGGATAGCGAGTGGTAAGTTAATATTTACAGGAAGGTGAATATCTCTGTGGCAGAATGTGTGGAGTTATGTACCTACAGGTGGGTGGCTGGGTGTTGGATGAACAGGTGGGCCCATCACGAATGGTGAATGATGGGAAAACGGACAGGTGTGTCTGCGGCTGGGTGGGCGGATGGATGGGAGCCACGGTCCACGCGGCAACATATTGGGTACTTTATAGCGGTGGGAAGCAGGGACAGGCAGAAGGATGTGTGTGATGTGTGCCTCCGCCAC